GTCTCATTTAGACAGTTAGGATAATTAGGATAAGTTACCACAAAAAAGGGTTTCATTTAAATGAGCTCATTATGAATAAATCAACATATTTAAGGTAAAAAATATCAATTGCAACGCTTAAAAACAAATTTCACCAAAGGAAAATTACCAAAATTTAAAATATTTGTCATGTGTTTTATATGTAAAGTCTAAAAAAACCAAGCTATTTCACATGTATGAATCAACTTTTTTTTTTGCAGTAGGTGGAAGCATCGAAAGCCGCTGTGTGAGACTTGAACCCACTAAACCACCTCAAATGAATGAAAGGAGAAGATTTCCACAGCTATGAGGAACCTTCATTCCAGTATACGAAGGAGAGAGAAGAGAGTGAAGAGACTTTACCCCTATCAAGCTAGGTTCATCTAAGTCAGAAATCAGGGCATAAAATGAGGAAAATTGGAAGTAGTGTGCATGAACGGAAACGACCAAATTTTAATTATATGAAAAGACGCAGATGTAGCTGTACTGGAAACATGATTTAAGTCATATTTGTAAATTATAATGAAACATGTAAGATAAATCGATTTCCAATTGATTTTTCATTGCACATATTTTTTTATGCTTACCTTTTGTAATATAACATACTTTAAGGTAAGTAACATTTATTTTAAAAGCCATAAATGTTCGTTATTACACATGCGAAGTCATTTTTCATTTTTTATTATTCATAGCAACCCTGTACTAGAAATTTTAAATTCTCTTATTATATATTCACAAAAGATGGCGTTGATCCCACAAACTGTCAGTACCAGCTGAGTTTATTGAAATTTAAACAAAATGTCAAATATGTAAACAAAGCAATGGAATTGGGGATTATTTAAATATATTTTATATTACTGGAAATTATTGGCAACTTATGACTGACTGTTTTTAGGTTTGGTTTTTTTCATATATTCATAATTTTATTAATGTTTACTTTGTTTTAATAGAGCATCGTTAAACTTTTAGCGGAAAAATAGAAGAAATTGAAAAAAAAAACGATTGTGTTATGCGTTCATTAAATATATTTTTTCGCACAACAGTCTTTGCGAACGCAATAAATTTAATATATATGACCGACTACACATAAATGCCTTATGCGAAGTGAAAACTTTTGTGGGATATACATATACGTATTAGACAGAATCAACATTTAGTATAAATCAGCATCAAAAAAATTGTTTTTAAAAACATGGATTAACTGCACAAGTCCTAAGGCAATTTCAGCAACTCATAAGACAATGAAATATCAAATTAGTTACTAGCATTTCATCGGAACCGTAGAATTGCAATACTGACTGACAACCAGGCAGCTATAATTTCTTAACATCTAAACTGATATGGGAGTGCATTGACAAGTTGAACATACTCGACTGGAACAATCAGCTGCATTTAATATTAATTCCGAGACATGCTGACATCCAAGGGAATGAAATGGCAGACAAACTTGCAAGAAGAGGCGCGGCTTCAAGAATGATAGGCCAAAAAGCATCTACTGTCTAGATAAAGGAATGGTCTATCCATTGTTATGAACGGCGCAGAAAAAAAAAGAAAGAGTACTCTATTGGGAAAGGCTACCAAGGAGGAAATTTCATGGATGATAAGAATCCAAGACTACGCAAGATAGACTCTATACTGTGTTTTATTAAAGAAATCAGACTTGGAGAAACACTCTAATTTTAGTAAGGAGCACAATAGATCATTTAGGTCGCAGTGTACCTTTTTTCAGTAATACTAGTATTTCAACTGAAATTATTTACCGTCTTATAAATATGAGATGCCAACAACTACACAATCTGTAAAAAATTCATTCATTTTTACCGCCTGAGTACAATAAAGACGTTCATTTCTTCCATTTTCTAAGATGAATTGAACGCAGTTTAGAGTTTTGAATCAAGGAATCGTTACGACTATATTCAAGAATAACAGAAAAGGTCTCATAGATCGAAGTGTAGCTTTTTTTTATTATAAAATAAAAAATAGCAGGAAAGATCTCATAGGTTGCAGCGTAGTTTCTACACTATAACATATTTCATTTTAGTCTACAGGAATAGCAGAAAAGATCTCATAGGTTGCAGCGTAGTTTATAATAATAATTTTATCTAACTTATTTGATTGGACTATATAACATTTTTTTGTTTTTTATTAAAGAGCAATCGCGGAAACTGGCATTGTAAAATAAACAATAATTACGAAAACAGTGCAATATGGATTCTTTAAAGTGTGTCACAACTTTGATAATCTTCAAGGATACATAGCACGAGATATATAGCACGAGGTCAATGACATTTCCTTTTTATAAAATTTACTCAAATTATTTTGGTTTTACAATTAAGTTCAATTATTTTAACTCATCTTTAACTTTTTTATATTAAAAATGCAAAATACATACATCTTATTTCACGAAAATGTTTTTGTTTCTATTTTTTGAATAACTTGAAGGGAGGTAGGTAGGTAGGTTGAAGTAGCGGCCTTGTTTCCAAAAAGCCCACTTGAGCTTAAATCAGCTCATCCTGTGGCTCATTGTGGTACCACAGGATTTATATCAGTATACAACCAATGCCGAAAAAGGTAACGATTCCCCCATTAGGTAAAGAAAAACCAACCTGACAGTTCTATAAACTTGGCCAGCTTCCTAACATTACAGAATGACAGTTCAGTCAGATCGGTGAGAAAAGGGAGTCCGAAGATTTTTAATCTTTTTCTATCTAAAGAATGACACTGACTTATAAGATGAAGCACGGTCTCGTCCTCATGCTCAGAGTCAACCTTGACAAAAAACATTATAGGGTAGACCCAGTCTCATTGCATGCTTTCCTATTTCGCAGTGTCCCGTCAGCACAGTTACCGTTGTGTTGAGCAGGTGCCGTATTAGTTGAAGTAGCTGACTAGTTCGTTTCTTGTCTAAATTAGACTACGTCAACCTATATATATGACAATGGGGTTTATCAGTGCAGAATTGCTTGGTTATTCTCAGGTATTTTTGTTTGCCAGTTTAACTGTAGCAAGTGGAACGCCTATATCTGAGAAGTGAATGTTAGGGAGAAGTCCGCCTGCCGTGATTAGATCGTCTGCCCTACAATTAACCGAGATATCCCTGTGACCAGAAACTCAAATGAGGAGACAACTTATTAAAAAAAAATTTTAATTAAAACAGTCGTTTTGGGTTTTTAGTTTTATTTTTTATTTTCTGAAGTTCTTGAGTTTTTGTTCCTTTAATTGCTATACGCATAGTTCCCAAAATGTTCAGTTTTTAAATTTATTGTTTAACCTATATTGTTAAGGTTTTACAGTTCCAAAGTTTTGTAGCCAAATAGAGGGTCAAATATCTCCGTTTGACGCTTTGGCCAAATCCATTGAATGCTGATATACGGAGACCAAAACAGAAACTAAGCATTTTGGAGAACAATGCGTATAACAAAAAAAGAACGGACTAAGAGTATCAAAGATTATGGAGAGTTAAACTATGATGGCTCTTGATCCGAATAGCTTGTCTTTGGTTATTGACATAATGATATAAATCTCAAACCAAGCGTAGCAAATATTTAATATTTTTACTCATGGCAAATATATACAATATAATATTTTTATTTTAATAATATAAAGCCAATAATATATTTTTAGTTTTTTGTACTGAAATTTTCGACTTTACAGAAAATTCATTTAAACTTTCATTACAACACAATACTGAGTCGTTAACACGATAATTAAGTTTAACTCTTTTATTACTGTAGTCATTAACAGAGCACTGTGAATAATTACTGTAAATAATTACTGTAAATAACAGTATAACCTTAATATCGATGCCTGAATGTATTGAATATGAAAGATACATAATATAAATACATATATATATAGCTGTGTACTACATACCACTATAAGTTATATATTATATATATTTGTATTTATAATATACACATATTACATATATTAAATACTTAAGTTATTTATACTTATATTTTATTATGCATTTTTAAATATTCTGTATTTTAAAATTTAGTACATTTAATTAATTGTGCACCATTTTTGCGAGTCTGAAATTTAAAACTAATACACAATATATATAATTATTTTATTAATATATTTTTAAAGCAAATATGGTGCTTTTCTTAGGCGCATTTAATAATTTTTTGTTTTTTAACGCAAATGTTCAAAATATTTAAAGATCGTAAGAATTTTTTTTGCAAACTGTTGTCATGAAAGGTTCGATTGGATTGGAAGTGATGACATGGAAAGAAAAGGAATATGAAAGATTGGGATACTAATGAGCTTAGTATGCCAATCCTGAATTGAAGGATAGAGAAATGAATAGGAAAAATAAGTGGAAAAAAGTGGAATGTGAGCATAACAACCAGTAAAGAACAGTCCTTGCATATAAATTAAAATTATATATAAATAAAAAATTTTTCGAATTCCATTAAATTCATAAATAAAAACAGTTATATGCTCATGTTCTTTCAAAATAATTTTTTCGATCTCCAGAAATATCGCACAATTCACATTTTAACAAAAATAAAATAAATTGCCTTATTTTTAAAAAGATTTTAAGTGGAAATTAAATATTCTTGTGCTTAAATTTTTTTAAATAATTTTGAAATTTATAATAATAAATTAATAAATAAATAAAATAAATTGCCTTATTTTTAAAAAGATTTTAAGTGGAAATTAAATATTCTTGTGCTTAAATTTTTTTAAATTAATTTTTAAATAATTTTGAAATTTATAATTTGTTAAATGCATTTTTTTTTAAATATTAAAGGCACATTTAATTTTTTCAAATTTTAATTTTATATAAAAACAAATTCTTTTATGTAATTTTACTCTTTTTTTAAAAAACTTATTTTTTTTAAAAAATATAATATTTCTATAAATACTGTTGCTTATTATTACATTTAATTTACACTATTAATTTGATATAATACTTTACGCGGAGTTTTCTATATAATTGTTTAAAAAATATTTTATTGTTTATTTAAAATCTTATTTTAATATTATTTAATACTATTATTTTTTTTTGTTTAATTTGTTTTGTCACTATTATCTTTGTCTTTACCTGGCTGCAATCTTTTCCGGCAGTCTTCAGCTGAGTGCCCACGAAAATGACAATTACTGCAACGTTTTGTAGTTTTTACTTTGAGGTTATATGCAGCTTTAGCTTCAGTTTCATTGCTCTCTATTAATCGTCCTTCTTCAAGTAGTTCACAAAATTTTTTAACCGAACTGCGTTTTATATATTTTCTATATTTTATATTTATCAAGCCAAATATTAGATCTAGTTCTGTTTCTTCATCATGACGATCTGCTGGCAATTGTGATAATAAAGCTCGTTTTCTGCATATAAACGTGTCAATAGGAGTATTTTCGTCCTGACATTTTTGGAAAATTTCAAAATAAATTTGAAACGGTGCTTTCGCTGGTGAAAAATGCTTCCTCAAAAGTTCCATACCTTGGTTCCATGTTAGCACTTCTTTTTTTATGCCCTGCCACCAAATTGAGGCGATACCACTGAAAAGCAAAGGTAAGCATTTCAAAGCATCTTCATCGCTGATCTGCTCCGTTTCTTTATATGTTTCCACATTACTTATGAACTCTTCGACAGTGTCATGATCACGTTTACCCTCGAATGATATATGACAATTCGCAAAACTTCCTTTAGTTTTTGTTTGTTTTTCTATAGCATCAACAATTGCTTTCTCTATTAACTGATTAAGCTCCGTTTGACTTAATGTTATTGTTTTATTTTCATCCATATTGATTATTTTTATATATCAGACGAACTATTTCAGAATTTTAATTTCAGCAAAGCCAATTGCTCTTGGCGAATGCTAGCTTAGCTCCAATCTCAGACTGAATTGCAATATTTTGCGTTTCGCCTTTTATATACAACCATGGAATATGACTATTTTTCTCTCCTCTGAATTCATCCAATGGTATGGCTTTGTTTGAATGGCGTGAACTCAGTAATCTATGTAGCATTCTCTTATTCTTACATGTGTGTGTAATAATATGAAAAGAATATATCATTCATACTGAGACAATAATTTTCATATAAGAATGAGTAGAAGAGAAAATAATATATAGTATGTATTTTTCTACCAAAATTAACACTCATCGGACAGAAGTTCGTATATCATATACCAGAGAACAGAAAAATGAGAATAGTCCTGGTACGGACTATTCTCATCTCTCATGAGTATATTTAAAATTGTTATTTATATGAAAAATTATTCAGTAACAATAGTTTTTCTCATTTTATTTAAAGAGCAAAATTGATTAAGATTTTTTATTGATGAACATCATCTATTTGTGTGTGGTCTCTATGCCTCATATACAGCATTCTTCTGCTCGATTTGTGCAATAAATCTCATATGAGAACGATCTTGTGCTACCAAATGCAAAGAGCACTTATTTTATGGAGATATTATATATTAGACGGAACATATACTCGTAAACTTTTATACTCTTTACACACACATTGTAGAAAGCATAAATCGTTACAAAAGTTTGTGATGATATATATAAAAATGTTAATTGAAAACTTTATAAAGTATATATATTCAAGATTTACTCCTTGAGACATGGGTTTTTAGAAAAGAATTTTAAATTTTTATAGTAATTGATTCATTAGATACTATATACATTGTTATAATCTAGTATGTTTTGCATTAGTTTAAACAATCTTAAATAATGAAATGTAAACAAAATTCAGTTAAATATAAACTGTCAATCTTGTCGGTTGTATTTACTTCAGTTGGCGACGAGGATAAAAATCTGCAATTATTCAATCGCTTTCACGCTTATTTCGTACCGTTTAACAATTTATTCGGTTTCGATTTATTTAAAGAATTCGGGTTTGAGATTCAACAAATTTGTAACTGTGAATCAGTTAGTGAATCACACAGAATTAGCGAGCTGTGTAAGAAATATGGTGATATTTTTGAACCAGCTCTTGGCACAATAAAAAACTTTAAGGTCAGTATTTTTTTAAAGCCAAATGCACATCCGAAATTTTACAAAAGCCGACAAATTCCATTTTCGCAAATGTCACTTTTCAAGAAAGAAGTCGATCGATTGACAAATGCGGGTATTTGGAAACCTGTGAAGTTTTCCCAATGGGCTTCGCCTATTGTACTAGCGCCAAAAGCTGATGGTTCCATAAGAATTTGTGGGGATTTTAAACAAGCAGTCAATGCGCAAATTGACATTGAACAATATCCTTTACCCATACGCGAAAGTCTTTTCCATAAAATTAATTGCGGTCAACATTTTACAAAAATCGACCTTAAGGACGCGTATTTACAAATGAAACTCGACGATGAAGCAAAAACAATAATGGTTGTCAACACTCCACTTGGTTTATTCCAATACCAACGTTTACCGTTTGGGATTGCAAGCGCTCCAGCTATATTCCAAAGATATCTTGAGCAGTTACTTCAAGGCGTAGAAGGTTGCGGAAATTATCTCGATGACATTATCATCTCCGCACCTACATTTCAACAACACATCAGCCGCCTAGAACAAGTACTTCGTATTTTGCAACAAAATGGTATCAGATGCAAGCAAGAAAAATGTTTCTTTCTGCGAGATAAAATCGAGTATCTCGGGCGTCAAATTAGTGCAAAAGGTATATTGCCAGATGAGTCGGGACTAAAAGCAGTAAAAAACCTGCAGCCGCCTAAAGATCTAAAGCAAGCAGAAGCATTCATGGGTAAGGTAAACTATTACCATAATTTTATACCTAATTTTTCGCAATTATCCGCGCCAATCAACATGCTGCGCCGAAAAAATGTAAAATTCACATGGGGTACAGCACAACAACAAGCATTTATAGCTCTTAAAACGCATATTCTCAATGCAGCGCAATTAGCACATTATCAGGAAGATTTACCGTTGGTTCTAGCTACAGATGCCTCCTCCTATGGCATAGGAGTCGTGCTCTCGCATACGTACGTTGACGGTACAGAAAGGCCTATTGCTTTTGCATCTAAAACTCTCGACATTCATCAACGACGATATAGTCAGATAGAGAAGGAAGGGCTAGCTATCGTTTTTGGAGTCAAGCGTTTCCATCAATATTTATACGGAAGAAGATTCACCTTGGTTACTGACCACAAACCTCTTGTTAGCATTTTTAATCCAATTCATCAGTTGCCGTCGATGACGTCACATCGTTTACAGCGATGGGCTATTATACTAATGGCTTATCAGTATGATGTTCGGTATCGTAAAACTACTGAGCATGGAAATGCCGATGCTTTATCTCGTTTACCTGTTGGTGAAGACAAAACTTTTGATCATGAAGAATCCTGTTTCAACATCAATGAACTTAACACACCTATCGACGCTGAAATAATTCGTCAGCATGCCAAAAATGACCCAATTCTTCGCCGAGTTTATTTTCTCGTTACAAACGGTTGGCCTGAAAAGCTAATGCCTCAAGATGCTGATCTTCGATCATTTTTCAATCATCGCTTTGCTTTAATACTAAACAACAATTTGCTTTGCCTCCAGACGGAGTACAACCGGGTTGTCATTCCAGCCTCCCTTAAGCAGAAAATTCTTAAACTTCTTCATGATGGTCATTGGGGAGTATCGAGAATGAAACAGCTAGCTCGACAACATGTCTGGTGGACTAATATTGACAAAGACATCGCACAATTAACTGAAAATTGTGATGTGTGCAAAATTGCAAATCCTGTTCACGCACGTGAATACTTAAGCTGGCCTGAAGCTGTTCGACCTTGGGAGAGAGTACATATCGACTTTGCTGGTCCATTTTGTAATTCAATGTGGCTAATTTGTGTCGACGCTTTCTCGCAATTTCCGTTCGTTGTACAACTATCTACAACAACAACGGTTGACACCGTATCAGCATTGTCTTCTATATTTTCTCTGGAAGGTATACCAGAAACCATCGTAAGTGACAATGGTCCGCAATTTACAGCTGAAGCATTCAAACATTTTTGCTCAAAACTTGGCATCAAACATATAACAACAGCGCCGTTTCATCCAGCCTCAAACGGGTTAGCCGAACGATTCGTCAGATCTTTTAAAACTGCTGTTCAGAAAAACATTGACGATGGATTGTCTCTCAAATTCGCTGTATCAAAATATCTTGCAACATATCGTGCAATGCCGAATGCTGAGGGTAAATCACCTGCAGAACTTTTACATGGAAGGCCTGTTCGTACCTTGTTGAGTCAACTGTTTGAATCGCCTAGGAAGCACCTTGAAGCTTCGAAACGGAAAATGAAATTTAGTCTAAAGCAACCCGTCTTCGCTCGAAACTACGCAAGAGGGGAAAAATGGATAAAAGGAGTTATTGTGAAACAACTTGGTAAAATGGTTTACCGAGTGAACACATCTTTTGGTTACATCAAACGTCATGTTAATCAGCTTAAAACTAGAAGTAGCTCTGACCTCTCTTCACAACCAATTTTTGAATTCGCTCCAAATTTCATCAATGCCACACCGCCTTCATCTAGCCAATCAACATTAATGCCTAGTGAAGAACGTTCTACCGAAGTAGTTCAACTTCGAAAAAGTTGTCGTATTCGGAAGGATGTAAATCGATTTGAATCCGACGATTTCAGGAAAACTTAAACCTTGTCAAAAATTAAGGGCGGAGAAAGTGTTATAATCTAGTATGTTTTGCATTAGTTTAAACAATCTTAAATAATGAAATGTAAACAAAATTCAGTTAAATATAAACTGTCAATCTTGTCGGTTGTATTTACTTCATACATATACCATATAAATTTTATATATAGTAGATATAGTAGTGTTCATTATTAATATATGTATTTGATTGAAATTTGATATGTGATAAATATTTAACATATTTACATAAGGAAACTTTTTGATCACTTCAGTTTTCAAAATAGCTTTAGATTGTATTGTATATCTATATCAAATGTGATCTTTGTATCTAAACAAGCTATTTCTAATGTTAATCTATTTTTATATATGAATATGTTTCATTTTAAAAGATTACTTTAACTGTACTTATTGAACAGTATATTGTATTTTCACTTAATTAAAGTATTAGGCAATATAACTTATTCAATTAAGCACTATAAAAAACAAAAGCAACAAAATTTGACAGATCGAGTTGTGTAGTGAAGATGTGCGATAAATCTGTGTGAAGGGTATTTAAATTCGATGGAGCATTGAGTGTACTTAAATATTTTATGGATCCATAAATATTTTATGGATTATATGGATAAATTCATATTAAACTTCAGTTTTCATTAAATTTTTTTTTTGGTTCAAATATTTAAAAAGGGGAAAAACATTTTATCGATTTATATATATATATATATATTATATACATATATTATTATATAATATATACAGTTTGTCAAGAATGAGTTTTCACACTGAAAATAATTAAAAATTTCAATTTCTTATTCAGAAAAAGACAACTTTTTGTTTTAGTATATATATTTTTTATTTTATATATTTGTTAATTACTATATTAAGAATATAAACATAAAAAAGAAATTATAAAATTATTGAAAGAAGAACACAAAATATGCCAAAAACAAATCCTACATCATTTTTTGACTGTCAAATGACTGTTTTCACAACTTGGGTTTTTCTATTATTTTGCATTATTTAAACGATGTGCGGTAAATTTACAGTAATTGGCGCCTTGCGTTGAATATTGTCTGAGATGTTGATACATAATTAGTTATTGTTTTCTAATTTTTTTACTTTACTAACTAAAATATCTATGTTTTTAACCCTGGACGTATAATCATATTTCTACTACTGTTAAGAATAATCATACGTAAAAATGACGTGCAATTTTCAGAGTTTATATTTTGCCGTTATATTAATTT